TTTGTCTTTTGAACTCTTTCCCTGCGTCTTTGATTTCCATCAGCCTTTCTTGCCCTAAGTGAGGGCGTTCCAGTGGTTGCTTAGATGACCATTCACGACCCTTTAAGACACCTGTTGGTACTCACCAAGGTCGGATGTAGATTATGCTGTACCAAATGGCCTTGAAGATCCCCAAGGCTATGACCCTGAACCCTCAGCCCAGTGACTTGATCCTTCAAACGTTTGGTTATGCCTGGATGTTTCATAACCTTGGCCCTGTGCGTACCACGGTATCCGGGAGCATGGTTACAGCCCCGGGAGTGGTTACAGCCCTGTGCTCACCACGGTATCCGGGGAGCATGGTTACAGCCCTGGGAGTGGTTACAGCCCTGTGCACACCATGCTACCTGTGAGCATGGTTACGGCCTGTGTGCTGTACTGTATCTGCGAGCATGCCTGCTTCCCATGTCCTACATACATATGTAACCGTGTGTGGAAAGAGCCTTTGTCGGGTCACTGCCCAACAGTGAAAATGGTCCCCTCCTTCTTCCCCTTCCTGTTCAGCTTCTGAGTCTGTGTTCCATTGAATATTTGCATCTCTGTGTGTGGTGTTTATATGCACATGCGTGCATGCATGTGTGTGAATGTGTATATGCATGCTTGGTGTACATATATACATGTGTGCACACTTGGATACATTTGCATATATTTGAATAATAGTGGTATTCATTGGACTGCCTGTTTGCGTGTAGGTATTACTCTGTCACAAGATGGATCTAGAAATGACTTTTTTAAATAAATGAATTTTACACTATGAAAGCAGCCCTATTTCCCCTTACCTTTCCATTTCTGGAATAGCAGATTGTATGATTGTATGCTTCAAAACGCCCCGTGCCAGTCCATCTCATTTCACCAATACCTAGTATGTCAATATTCGTGCGTTCCATTTCTTTCTTAACAATGTCTAATTTTCCTGCATGCAGGTTTCTCACATTCCATGTTACAATCACTAGTGTCTGCTTACAACTATTCCTCCTCCTTTTTTAAGGGCTCAGCCTCAGTTGCCATATCGATTAGCCTGCTTTAAGTGTGCTCTAGAGTATATAGGGTTTTCAAAGACCTATTATTTCGGAAGTGCTTATACAAAACCTATACTTGGACCAGGAGACAGTCATCAGAACAGAGCAAGGAAACACTGCATGGTTCAAAATTAGAAAAGTGTGGAACAGATCATTAAGGAGGCTGTGGTATCAAGATTGGAGGAAGACTCATCAACAACCTGCATTATGCAGATGACACAACCTTGCTTGCCAAAACTGAGGAGGACCTGAGGCACTTGCTGCAGAAGGTCAAGGACTTCAGTACAGATTGTAGCTCAACATCAAGAAAACAAAGATTCTCACCACTGGGCCGATTGGCAGCATCATGATAGATGGTGAGGAGATTGAGATTGTTAACAGCTTCAGTTTGCTTGACAGTCAATACCCTTGGTACCACCAGCCATAAAATCTAAAGATGCACTGCATTGGGAAAATCTGTTGTCAGGGACTTTGCCAGGGTACTAAAGAGCAACACTGTCAGTCTGGAGACTAAGACACACTTGATCTGGGCCATAGTCTTCACAGTTACTTGCTAGGCATCAGAAAGCTAGACAATGACTAGGGATGATAGAAGGAGAATTGATGCCTTTGAGCTGTGGTGCTGGAGAAGAGTATTGAATATATCATGGGCTGTTAAGAGAACAAACAGGTTTGTCCTGGAGAGGGTGAAATCAGGCTGCTCTTTGAAGGCAAGGATTCTGAAGTGTCACCTGACATGTCTTGGATATGTTGCAAGGAGGAACCAGTCCTTGGAGAGGGACGTCATGCTTGGGAGAGTGGAGGGACAGCACAGGAGAGGAAGACCTTGGATGAGATGGATTGACTCAGTGACTGGGGTAATGGGGGTGGGTGTATCGGAGACAATGAGGTTGGTTCAGGACAGAGCAGGGTTCAGAGCTGTTGTACCCAGGGTCTCTAGGAGTTGCAAATGTTTTGACATAACAAGCACCACATGAATACTTGGATGTCTGTGAATTTGCATTTGATGAGAGTCTTGTGAGAGGGGCAGCTGGCCAAGAATGGCTTGGATTTGGAGGCAGTAAATTGCACAGGAGTTGACCACCTACCCATCTTCCTTCTGTGGAGCAACTGGTGGATTTGAACCTCGTACCTTTGCATTGGTGGCATAATATCTTACCACTAAGCCACCAGAGCTTTGGAAGAACAGCTTTGAGAGACTAATTGTCCACAGGACTGGTGGTCCCTGATTGGGGGGTGGGGGTGGTAATGCAGAATGACTCAGAATCCTAAAAAGGCCAGTCTTGCTGGTCTGATGGAGACAGTAGAGCCCTAGAGATGATGGGCATTAGTCACGCTTCATGCCTGAGCTGAAATCACGTCAGGCGTCAGCTTCCAGCTGGACCTCGGGCTTCAGAGGTGCTTGGTGGGGCCGCCCTCCATAAGGGATCAGTCAGCCATACAGCATCAGAAGGCGGCGTGGACCCAGGGATAATGTCCAGGCAGGAAAGGCTGGGGAAAGAGGGGGAAACAGGAGAGTGGGAGGGGTGTCACATGGTCAAGGTCACAGACATGAAGTGTATAAACAGGTGAACAGAAATGAATTTGCTGTGTAGAATTCTACTCAAGTCACAAGGAAAGTTAAATTTGTTTTCTTTTCGAAGAGTGCCTTTCTGCCTGGAGCCAGCATTGACTGGAGGTAGCTCCAGGGCTGGGGCAGTTGGGTTGCCCCACGGTGCCAACAGGCACTTGACAGATACCCAGACACGGCTTTTTATTTTACAACTTGAACGTGTGGCAACACTGCATTGAGCAAGTCTATCAGGACATTTCCATTTCTTGTTGTCTTGGTGTTCTCCCCATATTTCAAGTGTTTCATCAAGTCTTGTACTCGATGGATTCCTAAGTCCATGGCCATTGGGTCCACCTTTGGTGAGCTGCTGTCAGGTTTCCAAGGGTGGAAATCTCAACAGGAGCAAACAGCCTTGATGTTCTCCCAAGGAGGCTTGAACCAGTGACCTTTTGGTCAGCAGCCCATCACACCAGCAGGGCGCTTTTAAAAACCTTCAGCATCTCGTAACCACAGCTGTCGAATTCACTGGGGACCCAGACATTACTGGCTCGTTTTCCCGCATGGTCAGAGAGGAAGCTGCCTTGTCTCCCGGGTGTACTGCCCTTGTTAATGGATCAGCCCCAGGGTTTGTGCCCTCAAGGAAGTGGCTAGCACACCCCTGGACCCCTATGCTGCCCACAGGGCAGGGGAAGGACCCAGGGGTCCCACAGGGAACCACTGAGCACTGAAAGCCCTGAAGGGCTGCAACATTTCCAGCAGATGTGTTGTCATGGTTACGAGCAGAGTATCCCTTGCTGGAGCAGGGCCACAGCCCACCTTCCTCTCTGCATTCACCTCTGTCCTCTTTGCCAGCTGCCTGTGACAATCTCTGGGAGACTGGAGCTGGGCATGGGAGACAGGGCACCCGGTGGACATATCTGTAAAGTGAGGTTCATAGGTGTCCAGGGCAGTCACCTTGAGGTGTTGACTACACAGAGCTACACGGAGTGGACAGAATGGCGGGTTCTGAGCCTGGTTTCCTGTGCCATGGCCAGCCTCTCAGATTTGGAGTGACTTTGTGTGGCCATGATGTATGTCACTTTTCCAGGTCAGTTCTGTCATCTGTGAACCAGGAACGTTGAGATGAGTCTTTGGAACCTCACAGAGGGAAGCCCTCCCCTTGTTCCCACAATGCCCCTGGCTTGCTCTTCCAGGAGGGGACAGTCACCTCCTTTGGTCTGCCCACCTATGGTGGGGGCCCTGTGCTGATTCTTTATCCCCAGTACAGCTCAGCTCTGGGCTCTGGACTCCACTGCCCACCTGGACCGCCTTCCACACTAGCTCCCTCTGCACCTTCTCTGACTTGCTGCTGGACACCCATCTCCACAGGGTGGAGGGAGTGGGGGAGTGGGAGTGGAAGGGCAGACCGGGAGGTGGGCCCCTCACCTGCAAGGAGCCTGGCCTGGGTGGGCTGTCCCTTCTCTCCAGATGGAGGTGGTCTCCTTGGACTCAGCGTGCTGCTCTGAGCCCACAGACAGGCCTGGATGGTCCAGGAGGTGAGCAGGGCTGGCCCCTGGTCACTCAGCCACCTGTGAGGTCTTGGGGCTGTTGGGATAAAAGGCCTCACTGAGCTCCAGACAAGGGACTGTCCTCTCACGGCTCTGGAGGTGCAAGTCTGAAACTGGGGTCTGGGCAGGACCACACTTGGTCCTAGTGGAGATCCTCCCTGCCTCTTCAGTCCTGCTGGTCCTGAGTGCCCTGGGCTTGTGGCATTTCTAAACTGTCCCATTTCTGAACTGGTCTCTCTGTTGTCTCCCTCTGTGTCTCTGCCTCCTTTTATAAGGACACTCCTCCTTGTTAGGAGAACACCTTATGATCCTTAAGCATTGGACTACTAACCCAAAGGTTGCCAGTTCAAACCCACCAGCCACTCCCTGGGAGAACACTGCTTCCATAATGGTGTTGTGTACCATCGAATTGGAACCACCCACAGCTGACCCTCTGGCAGGGTTTCAGGGCAGTTAATCACACGGGAGGAGACTGCCCATCCTTCTCCTGCACATACAGTTTTACAGCCTCCAAACCCTGGGCTGTCGTCTTTCGTCCTGCAGGACCACTGTGGGCGGTGAGCAACACGATGGCCATAGGTCTGCATTTTTGGTTGGTCAGCATGTGGCAAGTCTGCCCTGGTCCAGTGTGATCCTGTTTGAATTTGGTGGCAAAGACTAGGGCTAGGACGTGGACACATCTGTTGGGGACCCAAGTCTCATCTGGTCTAAGGCTGCTGCTACTGCAAAGGCTTCTTGCTGTGTCCCCCTTGGTCCAGGTGGATGCTGTGTCCCTCTGGGTCCTGGTAGATGCTGGCGTGCTGCCATGACACCCGGTCCCAGCCTTCACTGCCTCTCCTACAGCATCATCAGCTGCTCTGTCCGCGCCTTCAAGTATGTCTACGGGCTGCGCTTTGACATCAAGGGCCGTGAGAAGCTCGAGCTGGACCAGCCGTGTGTGATCATCTCCAACCACCAGAGTGTCCTGGACATGATGGGTGCGTGAGGCCCAGCGGGGCCCTGGGCTGGGCTGGGCGACAGATGGGTGCGTGAGGCCCAGCGGGGCCCTGGGCTGGGCTGGGCGACACCCTCACCCAGCAGTCAGCCAGTCTATGATCAAAGTCCAGAAGCAGAAAACTGAGGCTCAGAGAGGCCAAGAATCTCCCCAGGCAGCCAGTGTGCAGGCGGGGGCGGCTGCAGGCCTGGGGTGCAGATGAGGGCGGTGGAGCAAGGGCAGGCCTCAGGGAGGTGGCGCCCAGAGCCCTGAGCTCTTGCCCTCGTGGCACAGGCCTCATGGAGATCCTGCCCAAGCGCTGTGTGCAGATAGCCAAGCGGGAGCTGCTGTTCCTGGGCCCGGTGGGCATCATCATGTATCTCGGGGGCGTCGTCTTCATCAACCGGCAGCGCTCCAGCACCGCCATGACCGTAATGGCCCAAGTGGGAGAGCACATGGTCAAGGAGAACGTGAGTGCTGGGCGGGGACGGTGCAGCGGGGCCCCTCGCCTCACCTTGCTCTGGAGGCCTGAGAATGAGGGTGCAGCATGTTTCCTGGGGTCGCCCAGGACTGTGGGGAACTGAAAGGCCACCTACTCCCTCTGCAGCTCAAAGTGTGGATCTACCCCGAAGGTACACGGAACAGCAACGGGGACCTGCTACCCTTTAAGAAAGGCGCCTTCTACCTGGCCGTCCAGGCCCAGGTACGGGCTGGGAGGGGTGGGAGGGGTGGGAGGGCCCAGGGGCCTGCCCACTAGCCTCACACTGACTGCTGGCCTCCAGGGACCCCTTGCCATCGGAAAGGTGCCAGGGTCTCACCCCTATCCCAAGCACCTGAACTCTCAGTCCAGAACTGCCTCACAGGAACACTCCCCACCCTCCTTCCAGCTGGCCAGGGAGTGTGCAAACATGGGAGGGGAACGGGCTGTTGGTGGCTCCCTCCCTCCGCCCCCCCCTCCTTCCCCTTCCCCTCCTCCTCCTTGCCCCTCCCTCTCCACTTATGCTTCAGCCTCCTGGTCACCAGGCAGAGTCAAGGCCAGTGGCGCGGCCGGAGTGGCCAGGGCCAGGGTGGCCAGGGTCTTGAGGTGGGCCAGGTTTTGTCAGAAGGGCCTGGAGCTCCGCCGGGTGAGACTTAGCTCTCCTGGGTTAGGCCTCCCAGAGGGGCATTTTGTCCTCGAGTGGAGTGTCCTGGGGAGGGTGGTGGTACCGGGGGGGAGGCTGTTCTCTGAAGCTGAGATGAGAGTGACTCCTTCTGGGACTCTGTCCCGCCCCTGGAAATGGGGGCACTCAAGCAGGGGAGCAGTGGAGGATTAGGGTGGGGCAGGCATCAGCCCCTTAAGAACCTCAGTTTTCTTTTAGGGGAGGTGGGAGCTGTAGCTCCCTCTGGTGTCCGGCCCTGTGCAAGGCAGGGGCTGGGGAATCCCACTAACAGGGCCAGGGCGTGGGGAGCCCTTCTGGGCTGGAGAGGGGTCCTGGCCCTAGACCCCAGCTCTTCCCAAACAAAACTCCTCTGCTTTGGGGTTTCACACTGGGGCTTGAGGCGTGGCTGGTCCCTGAGGCGATGGGGCACACCTGGTCCTGATGTCATTTCTTCCAGTGTGGACAGGGACAAGAGAAGCTGGCAGAGAGACAGGCAGTGTGCCCCTCCCCTGTGGCCTACCAGTCTTTATCAAAGGCTCATTCCCCACCCTGCTGATGCCGGGGACAGTCTCCCTGACCTGTCCCTCAGGTTAATGATTATCCCAGGCGACATTGGACATTGGAGTCATTGTTGGACTTGACCCTTGTTTTCCAGGGTCTCTTGGGGTTGGCCCCTCTCCTGGCTTGAGCTGTGCCAGTGCAGTGGCACACACTCGGGGGAGGGTGGCAGCTTTGCCAGCCAGTATGTCTGTAACAGAAACACCACAGGGGGAGGCTTCGTGGGACAGGAATCTGCTCTCTCATTTAGATGACGGGAGCCCAGGGCTGGGGCCGGCCTTCAGGATGGCGCTCTCTCTGCGGGATGTGTGTGTGCGTCTCCTTCTCTCGGTTCCTGTGACATTGCCCTTGGAGACCCTCAGCTCCTTGTCCTCTTTCCCGTTTTATGTTCCTCTGATATCACAAAAGGATTAGGTCTAAGACACACAAATCCTGCACCCCAAACCCAGAAAGACTGCCGGAGTCAGTTCTACCCCGAGAGACTCTGGGGTAGCTGAGTCTGTCAGCCTTTATGGGATGAGGCTGCCTCATCTTACTCTCCAGAGCAGCTGGTGGATTTGAACTACAGACCTTGAGATTAACAGTTGAACACATAACCAACTGCACCACCAAGACTCCTAAATAACCCAGTGCCCCAAAGCAGTCACATCCCCTGACGAAGGGGCTAAGATTCCTGCACGTGTTTGGGAGGGACACAATATAATTCCTTAGAGATAGGAAGGGGGGTGGGTAGGGAGGACCTTGTTCCCCTTCCCCAGCTGAGTCAGAGTCAGGCAGACAGGAACCAGACCCAAGAGCCGCACAGGTAAAGGGTGGGAAGGCTTCCTGGAGATGGTGCTGGGCAAGGGTGTGCAGGCCCGGCGCATTCCTGGGCCCTTGGATGGGAGAGGTGCTTCTCCGAGGGCTCTGAGTGCCTGTCCAACAGCTACAGAAACCCGTGACCTTGCCAGTGCAGTGGGTGGTCCCCAGGCAGGGGTCCCCCACGCACTCTTCCTTGGGCATCAGAGGGCTGGGTGCCTGCCAGCCCTAAGGCCTGCCAATGCTGCTGTTCTCCTGCACACAGGTGCCCATCATTTCTGTGGTGTATTCCTCCTTCTCTTCCTTCTACAACCCCGAGACAAAGCTGTTCACCTCAGGTACGTCCTCGGGGGGTGAGGGGTGCATTCATGCCGAAGTCCACTCAGGTCCCTGAGTGTCTCATCACTGGGGTTAGAGCCCTACAGTGGTGGTCCCATTCTGCTGGCCACAGTGAGCCACAGCTCTGCCACCCAATACCCACTGGCTAGATGTGTGGGTGTACGGGTTGGCAGATGGGTGAGTGGGTGGATAGACGGATAGCAGGTAGGTATTTGAGTGGATGGATGGATGGATGGATGGATGGATGGGTGAGCGGGTGGGCAGAATGATGGTTGGATGGAGGAGGGGAATGGTGGTAGATAGGTGGGTGAGTGCACGATTGGATGAACGGCTGGACAGTCAGTAGATGAACAGATGGCCGGAGAGTGGGCGGATGGGTATATGGGTGTGTGGGTGGGTAGACAGGTGGGTGATGGCATGAATGGCTGAAGGGTTGGATAGTAGGTAGACTGATGAAGGAGTAAGTGGATAGACGGTTGATTTTGGACAAACTGATGGGTGGATGAGGGGACAGGTGGTTGAATAGATGGCTGGCTGAGTGAGCACCTGGGAGGATACACGAGTGGATAAATATCCTCCCATGGACGGACAGATGGATAGGGAGAGAGTGAGTAGATGGGTGGGCGGATGGATAGATGGTGAGCAGTCGATGGATGAATGGTTGTAGGTACAAAGAGGAATGGGCGAGTGTTGCGCTGTCCCAGCCACGCACCAGCCTTCGCCACCGTAACGTTTCCCAGTGGCTCTGGAAGGTGGATGGTGGGCAGATGTTTTCATAAGAGGAACTGGAGGTTCCAGAGGCATGGGGGGTGGGGGGAGAGGCTTAGATTCACGAAGACTGTGCTGACCTGACTCACAGGGGCAGCGGTGGTGGAGCTGAGCAGCCCACCTGGAGCTCCAGGTATCTAGGACCCCTGACCCTCCCCCCCAGTCCCATGTCCCCCAGGTGGGAAGGACAGCCAAGCTCTATGTCCCCCACACCTGAGGCCCACTGGGCAAGACAAGTCCTACGGAGGAGGGTGGTCACTGAGGGGCTGCCTGCAGCTGAGAAGGTGTTGTGCTGTGGTTATGTGGGAATGTAACATAGGAAACCCTCGAAGCTGTGTGCACCGTGTGCATGAGTCATGCCTCAGTTAAAAAAGTAAAAAAGTTTAAAAGTAAGGCAGGACCAGGCCAGTGTCCAGTGGCCTCAGGAGGGTGCCATTGATGCCCCCACAGGAACAATCAAGGTGGAGGTGCTGGATGCTATTCCCACCACTGGTCTCACAGTGGCCGACATCCCCAAGCTCATGGAGACCTGTCATCAGGACATGAGGAACACCTTCTTCCGTCTGTCCAAGATGCCCCAGGGGAATGGGGCTGTTAAGCAGCCACAAGCCCGGCTGGCCCAGTAGCTGAGGCTTTGGGCGGCAGGGCAGGCGGGGGCTGGCCAGGTGGACAGAGGATGCCCAGGCTGCCACTTATTGCTGTCTGCTCCCTGGCTCCTGGCGCCCATTGCAGCCCTGGGCTTGGGCCGGCGCTGGCCTCTGATTGACGTCCTTCCCTGGGAGATTGGACTAGCCCTCCCCTGCACCAATGCAGGCTGCCTCGAGGCTGAGCAAACTGGCGGGTGAGCAGAGCTGACAGGCCTGTTGTACACTAGCTTGTGACAGCCGACTTCTAACCTGCAGGACCAAAGGGCAGGCCCCCAGGCCAGGCCTTCTGGGAGAGGTGGAGGCCTGGAGGGACCCCTGCTTCGTGTGGTCCGGCCCCAGGCAGCAGGTGAACAGGGTCTGACTGTTTCCACCAGCCTGGAGGAGGGTCTTGCTGGAGTTGCAATTGCCTGTTTGTTTTTTTATAAACCACTCTTAAACGCTGGTGAGCTGTGGTTATTCTGGAAGGGTGCTGTGGCACAGCTCTCCCCAGGGCACACTGTGTGTTGCCCACTAGGGCCCTCTCGAGGTGTTCAGTGGGTGCCAAAGTCCACTGGCTGAGGCAAGGGAAGAGGGTGCTCAGAACACACTGAGCTCTGGTTGGGCGTGGGCCCATATGTCACCAGAAGCAAGCCGTCTTTCCATGGCACTGTCACGTCTGTAGAAACCACTGCTGCAGTACTTTGGAGATGGGAAGGTGAGACCCAGAAGAGCCCAGTCCCTGTTGGAGTCCCCCCAGCCCCTGTCAGTGAGTGGGTACATTCCTCCCTTTCTGAGTTGGACTAGGTTTGTAACCTGAGCGGGGGGGGGGGGGGGGGAGGTCAGGGCATCCCCCTGAACCAGAGAGAAACAGAAACCTCCAGGTTTGCCTGGGGGCCACACCCCCAGGTCTCCTGTGTCTGCTTCTCTTCCCAAACCTCCATCTGCCTGTAAGTACCCCCTAGAGACGCAGGAGAACCTCAAGTCTCAATTTTATTTTATAAAAAACAGGGGACAGGCCCTCTCCTGTGAAGGCAGTCCAACCGGGTGCAAAGCAGGGCACCTTCGTACCTTCCCTCAGCGTATGGGCTTGGGGGCTCGGGCCAGGGAGCCGCTGACCTCCTCTCAGCTGAGGGACTGGCATGGCTCAGAGGCCAGTGCGAGGCCTGAGCCCAGTTCATCGGCCATGAGTGAGCGGCCCTGCATGCCCAGAGCCCTGTGTGCTCAGTGCTGGCAGGCAGGGAGTCAGTCCAGCCTGGGGCAAGAAGACAAGGTCCTGTGGGCTCTGGGAGATGGATGGAGCTGGTTCCTAGGAGTCCTGGCCAGTCAGTTCCTTCTTACAGGAGCCTATGGGGGGTGATGCTGAGGTTAGAGGGCCCAGGACTTGGGGATCACCACCCGTCATGGCCTCCCAGCCCAGCCTAGTGTCCTGCTCTGAGGGTCTCAATAGGCCTAGGGCTGTTCCCCGCTCCTCTCAACCAAAGCCTGTCTCCCTCAACCCCCTGCCCTGAGGCATCCCAAGACCTCAGTCTCTGGACAGGGTGTAGGGAGATGACCCTAGACTAGGTGTCGAAATGCATAGGACAGGCTGGGTGGGGATGTGACCGTCGACTTGGGTGTGGATGACCAGGCAGGGTGAGCAGGCTGGGAAGTGGCCTCAGACCTGGGTCTCAGCTCGGTCTAGGTGTGATGGGCAGGAGGTAACCCCAGACAGGCGGATGGACACTCACAGGCCCCCAGCTGCTCTTCCAGGTAGGAGATCTGCTCACTTAGAGAGTCAATTCTCTCCAGCTGCCGGAATGAGTGGGTCAGCAAGCTGCCGGGGTCAGGGAGCCCGAGCTGGAAGGCCCGTGAGGCCAGGCTGTGCAAGGGGGCCAGCACCAGCTGCAGCTGCTGTGAGAGATGGAAGGTCTGGCTGGGGGGACACAGGCCTGAACCCCTGACCCGAGGGTGATCCCAACTGGGCAGTGGAGACTGGGACCCTCAGACCTTGCTCTTGGCTGCAGGGCCCGGAACCTCCACTAGGGGGAGCCGCCACCACACACAAGTCTCAGAGGCCAAGGGTGCAGGGAGGCAGCCTGGCTGGTGGGCAATGGAATGGGTTGAGGGTCCCTGTCCCACATGGAGCCCAGAGCAGGCCAAGGCCTCTCCTGGCTGCCCCGAGGCCTGAGCTCACCTGCTCCAGCACAGCCACCCTGGACTGCAGGCTCTGTACCTCCCGCTCCACCTCACTGTCCACTCCTGGGGGAAGGACAGGGTCAGCGAGGCCATCTGTGACCAGGCTGCCCCCACCCCCTGCAGCCCCCTGCCCATGCGAGAGAGTGGTCCAGGCTGAGCTGTTGGGCCACCCCATCACCACCTCGAGTGTGGCCCACTGGTGCTCCCCGCCCAACCCTGGTCTTGGCATCCATCCGACGTGAGGGCCGGAGACAGCGCATTATTACTCACGGTACGAGTTTGACGTGTCACAGCGCGTACCAAAAGTAATAATGCCCCGTCACCAGCAGAGGCCGGTCCATATGCTGCGCTGGGCGGAGATGGGGGGGGGGGCAAAGCCCAGATCCCCTTCCAGCCGAAGAAGGCACTCCCCTGCCCCCTTGTCCCACATCATTCCTTTCTCCTCATGCCAAGCTGTTCATCTGACTCGAGCAATCAGCTGCCTGCACCCACTGGCCACTCCTTGGTGGCACAACCCACCCTCAGAGCCTATGCTGTCCATCATTCCCCAGCAAGTAGCCGACAAGTGGGCGTTCACCTGGAATGGGGCTCAGGGTCACCGTGGGGGACTCCCTTATGGGCAAGCAGTGTATCCCGTCCAAGGATAAGCGGTGCCCCTCCTGGCACTTGCACTGGTAGCTGCCCATGGTGTTAGCACAGAGCTGGGGACAGACGACCCGGCCCAAGCTGCACTCATCCACATCTGGAAGGCCAGGAATGGGTGTCAGGCAGGGCCACCCCTGCAGGAGACAAGCCCCACATTTGGCCCCCCCGAGAACGCCCTAGTGGAAATAACCTCGTTGGGCGGCATCACGTGTGGTTGAAGGACAGTGCCCAGAGGCCTGGCCCCTCCCCTCAGAGGGCAGCGCTGGATGGGGCGGGCACAGCTGGGTCAGGCCAGCATTACCTGTCTGGCAGGAATGCCCCTGCCACCCATCAGGGCAGCGGCACCGGCCTGGCTGGATACAGCTGCCTCCATTCTGGCACGGTGGCTGGCACACTGCTGTGAGGGAGAGGGCTGTCACCCACTCAGGACGCCCCGGGGCCTCTGGGGCAGAAGCAGGGGGAGGGTCACCTCATAACTGTTTACTAGGTCACTAGCACTGCAGGGGTCTAGGGGCCATCGGGCTACAACCCTCACCTGCTCCACAGGCTCCAGAGAGCCTGCCGGTCTTCCAGCCAGGGCAGCAGGTATACCGGGGTCTGGCCAGGGCAGGCCCGGGGCTGTGGCGGTAGGCAGTTCTATAGATGGTCCTGGGGCAGGGGGCGAGCAGCTCAGATAGGCCTCTCCAGAGTGTGGGTCACGGTGGCCTCTGTGACCACACCCCCAGCTCCCCAGAATGCACTAAAGCCACACCCCTCCACCCCTCCCACCTCCACATGGGGGTTCTTGGAGAACATCCCCTCTAGGGTCAGCAGCTTGGTGCCACCATGCAGTGTCCGTCATCAAGGCACATGATGCTCAACGGCTTCCCAGAGCTGGTGGGGGCCCCACTGTAGCTGCCCGGAGCTGTGGGCAGTGCCCACACCTGTGTCCAGGGGAAGGGTGCCTGCCGGATCCCTGAGGGCAAGGCCAGGTTGACAGGGAGGTGACACACTCCATGCTAGTTCAGATCATGGTCCTACTGGGCAGGTGACCTCTAGATAGGGGCAGACTTCCGGCTGTCTTTCGGGGGGGCCATGTGAATTTGGGTGCAGACGCTGAAGGCTGTTCATAAACAATCTTCTGAGACTGAGGCAGATGAAACTGGCCCTTTGGGGAGTCAGTCTGCACCCCTGCCGGCTGGAACACTGCACTCACCGGTAGGTGCTGCAGGCCCGGTGACCGTCACAGGTGGTGAGAAAGGGCTGGTACACTCGCTGAACAAAGGACTCGGTCACGGTGCTCACAGGAGTCCTGACCACACACACCCTCCGGCTGCGGGACAGCTGGGAGTCAGTGAGGACCCTGGCCCCAGGGCCCGGCCAGCTGCCCCAGAAGAGTCATAGATGGGGCAGGGGCTTCCCTTCTGCTGGCTGCCAGGGGCACAACCCAGAGGTGCAGACACGTCTGGGTTGGACTGGCCTTGGGGGTTCTTTGGGGAGGGGCCCAGCTCACCCCGGCCGGAAGACATGATCTGAGCTGCCCGCAGCCAGCACCAGGAGCCAGACCAGGATCAGCTCCTGGGGGCCCCCCACAGCCATCTCTCGGGGGACCAGCCTTCACCTCAGGGTGACCTGCAGCACAAAGCAGTCTGAGTTCAGTGCGGACCCCTCACAACCCCCCAGGGGCAGGTGCCGCCCCCCAACACCATCCAACCAGAGCCCTCTGGGCGGGAGGCCACAAAGGAGGCCATGGTGAAGTGATAGTGCCCAGGCTGGAGACAAGTCACTGGTACCCATGTTGGGGCGGGTGGTGTCCAGACCCCTGCTCAGGGCCCCAAGTCACGAGGAAAGCAGGGTTCCAGGTGAGCCTGTAGGCCGGCTCCTTTGGGAGCCTTCCTGCCCCACCAAGGGGCATATGTGGTGTCAGCAAGGCAACTAAGTAAGGCCCTGCTGCCCCGCTGGACCATGGGAACCTCGCTTTTCCTATCTGTTGAATGGGCCCATCCTTTTAGGGGCTGTGTATTCATTCAGGGTCAGGGTCAGCTCTCACCATTATGGGGCATAATATGGAGTGGGGTCTACATCTTGGGGGGGCTCTGATGGATCTAAGATTCGAATGTTGCCAGCCTCTAGAGTCAGTTCCTCAGGGTCTGTCCTACCCCCACCCCCAGCCCGTGGGAGCCAGTCAGTCACTTAGGGTGGGGCTGGGGCTGGGGGTGGCATACTGGGGTAGCCCCCCCCCAGTTCCCAGAGTGAGGAACCCTAGCCAGAACCAATGGGGCTGCCTTTCTCAGCTGTGGGTGAGTCTAAGGAGTGGCTCCCCCTTCCCTCCCTCTCCCCTGCCCCCCTCCCGCCCTTCCCTCCCTCTCCCCTGCCCCATGTGCAGCCAAAGATCCAGAAGTGGTCAGCACCCCGTGCTCCAGGCAGCACCTCAGCTCTGGAAATTGTTCCCACTCCCCGCTTCTCAGAGGGTGGGCTCTCCCAAGGGGTGGGGCCCAATGGGGGAGGCTGGGTGGTCTCAGAGGAAGGACCCTTTCTCTGAGACTTAGTTTCTTCAGATGCACCACAGTGGTCTCAAAGGCCCTAAGTCCTGACAGCGTCCCTATTCCAGTCACAGGACGCTGGCGGGGTCACAGCCCATTGCCTCACCCACCCCTGTGGAGTGGGGGGGAGGGCCGTCCCCTGCCTGTTTTCTGTTGGCACGCACAAGAGGGTGGGGGTCCTGCAGACAGAGGTGTGGGGCTGGCTGAGGGCAGTGGGGGCGCCTGGGCAGAATGTTTAGTGGGGGCTGGAGGTGAATTCACGGTTTGGGGCACCCAGGCCAGTTGAGAGGATTGGGGACCAATGAGGTACGGGCTGGGTGTGTGGGCCCTGCCAGGGTGCAGACCCCTGCTGGCCTTATGGGGAGTCCGTAAGGGAGTGGGCCTCATGCAGTTAGGGCCGGAATCCGCACCCACAGTCCTTCAGACTTATCTCAAGCTGCACAGACAAGGAAACGTACTTTCCAATCGACTCGGTTTGGAAAGCCATGCTTCCCCCAGGCCTCGAAGCTCTGCGGGTTTGCAGTCTCTACCGGGGGCGGGCGGTGGAGCAGGAGGGGACAGCAGAGGACTGGCGCCTCCAGAGAGATAAGGAGTAACCTCCCGGCCCCTCCGAGTGTCACCATGAGCCCTGCCCCCACCTGCCGGCCTGCACCCCCGCAGTGCGCCCACTCCCGCTGCTGGGCCCCAATTGCCCGCAGGAGCAATGGCTCAGGATACCCCGCCTCCCACCAAGAGGGTTGTTTGGAGCGTCAGGGCGCACTCTGGAGGGGTGGAAGGCAAAGTGAGACAGACCGGGATGACAGACAGACTGGGGGGGGGGGACGCGCCCTCTCCACTGCCCGCCCCTCGCCCCTCCCCCACGGCTGGTGATGGGGGTGGGGGGTGAATCCCCCCACCTGAGCCTGCCAGTCTCCGCTGTGGAGTCCGGGGCCTGCGAGGCCCGAGCCAGGCCCCGGGGATGCGCAGGACGCGCGCCAGGACGCGCAGGAGAGGCTGCGGTGCCCCCGGCCCGGCGCGAGCCC